TGCTATGTACAATATCCATTTTGAAAATAAATATATTTAAAATGATATTACATACTGGTACTGTATGCTTTAAACTCATTTTGCTCCTAAATCCCATACCGTGACAGAAATTGTACTCAATTTTAACAAGGATATCTATTTTGATATTTCCCTACTCACATAAACCTGCATCAAGTCCCTATTGGCATTTTGTGATCACAAACATGAATTGATTGTGTATTTTCCCAGTGAAGTTTACTCAGCTCTAAAGATACCAGGAGCTTTGTCATTAATTTTAAGCCGCAAAAGCAATCAATTTTATTGAAGAGTATTGTTAGCATTAGCAGCAAAATATACTATTGATTTTAGCGTTGTTAACCTTTGAAAGTGACCACAGGGACCATGAGATATTATTATACAGTGTGACAGGAATAGGCAACTAAATTTTGCCACTTATGGTGTATGTAGTGTGTTTGGATTCATTATGATTACATTGTTTATTATTATATAATAGCTTACTGTTATCACTATTGCTGTTTACATTACAATGAGCCATTAAAACATACAATTTGACATAATACAGGACAAGGAACTGCTATGAAAAACCTACTTAGATGTGCTAAGATGTGCTAATACTATCTGTCTGGAAATTTAATTTTTATGAATGGAAGTGGTTTGATATGTCAGCAGAAACGGTTTGTTTTCCCACACTCGAGGTCGGGGTTCAATCCCTCGCTGTGCATTTTTCTTGTGTCCTTGGGTAGGGCACTTTATTTGCATTACCTCTCTCCACCAAGGAGTATAATAAGTGGGTACCTAATAGGGTTCAATGCCAAAATGCGTTGATGTAGCTGCTGCGACGTTATGGAATACTCCCCCAGGGAGCTTGAGTTTGTGTTCCGTAGGTGTTTAATCCAATGACCGGGGTAATGATAATGTGAAGTGCATAGAGGTCTTAACAATATGCGCTATGTAAGTCTACCATAAAAATATTATTATTAAATGAAGCTGTCTTGGTGGAAATGCTTTCCTTATCTAAAGGTCTTGGGCTAATTAGCTTTAGAGTTTACTCTTAAGATGCTTGCCTTCCAATCTTAAGTTTCTGTCCCCTACTTTAAAAATCCTAAAATTTCCTCTGTGTCTCTTACGCCATCATTATTTAATATTTAAATTATTGATTGGTGGTATAAAATGCTTGTCTTCCAATAAGATTCATGGCTATTTGTCCTGGAACTTGGGGTTTAAAACGCCTGTTTTCCAATCAAATTGATTATTTGATTATTGATTGATCAAATTTTTTTGTTGATTTTTAAATTTCTGTTTTATTTTTCTTTACAGTTGGATATTACTTATGTGAAGTCACAGTCAGATGAAATAAAAGACACGTAAGTACTTTACAATAATCTTTCAAGAATTCAAAGAATAATATTTACTCTTTATCTCAGCATAATGTTGGTGCACCTGCCCTACACTAATTAGTTTTTTGTCTGGTAAACCACATTAAGTACATCATATCTAGTCCTTTCTGTTATATTGATATACAAGTTAAAACCCTAAGAAATCCCTGTTTTTTTCTTGAGAGTTTCAAGAGCATTGAGTACCGGTTAATAACATTGTTGAACAATGAAATAGGAAATCCCTTTATGTTCAATCTATAGTAATGTAAATGGAAGTTTCACAATATTTCATTTATTTGATCAAACCACATCTTTACAGTGGTATAACAGACACTATGATCTAACAATAATTTATGATAGAAATGTAAAAAGCCTAAAAGAAAACAAACTTAAAAAAACAAATTGACACTTGAATTGATAGTGAAACATTTTATAACAAATTTCTTATAAATGCAAGAAAACATCATCATTAAAAATAAAAATGTCTTTTTTTAAAACTATAGTTTATTCTTTAAACTTGGTGGCCTCAGTAAACCCAATATTATTCTTCCATGCGCCCCAGTACACACG